TACAAGAGAACCAGTTCCATTGGCAGCCATACATGCCCACGCCATGACACTATCACCACCATGCTTCACTGATGAGGTGGTATGCTTAGGATCATGAGCAGTTCCTTTCCTTCTCCATACTCTTCTCTTCCCATCACTCTGGTACAAGTTGATCTTGGTCTCATCTGTCCATAGGATGTTGTTTCAGAACTGTGAAGGCTTTTTTAGATGCCATTTGGCAAACTCTAATCTGGCCTTCCTGTTTTTGAGGCTCGCCAATGGTTTCCATCTTGTGGTGAACCCTCTGTATTCACTCTGGTGAAGTTCTTCTCTTGATTGTTGACTTTGACACACATACACCTACCTCCTGGAGAGTGTTCTTAATCTGGCCAACTGTTGTGAAGGGTGTTTTCTTCACCAGGGAACGAATTCTTCGGTCATCCACCACAGTTTGTTTTCCATGGTCTTCCGGGTCTTTTGGTGTTGCTGAGCTCACCGGTGCGTTCCTTCTTTTTTAGAATGTTCCAAACAGTTGTTTTGGCCACGCCTAATGTTTTTGCTATCTCTCTGATGGGTTTGTTTTGTTTTTTCAGCCTAATGATGGCTTGCTTCACTGATAGTGACTGCTCTTTGGATCTCATCTTGAGAGTTGACAGCAACAGATTCCAAAAGCAAATAGCACACTTGAAATGAACTCTTGACCTTTTATCTGCTCATTGTAATTGGGATAATGAGGAAATAACACACACCTGGCCATGGAACAGCTGAGAAGCCAATTGTCCCAATACTTTTGGTCCCTTAACAAGTGGGAGGCACGTATGCAAACTGTTGTAATTCCTACACCGTTCACCTGATTTGGATGTAAATGCCCTCAAATTAAAGTTGATGGTCTGCAGTTAAAGCACATCTTGTTCATTTCATTTCAAATCCATTGTGGTGGTGTATAGAGCCAAAAATGTTAGAATTGTGTCCATGTCCCAATATTTATGGACCTGACTGTATATAGCGCCAACAGTTTGCGAACCGCTTTACAAAATGAAGGTAGACATTACAGTTACAATGCAATATGGTACAAGAGGAAACAGATGGCCCTGCTCGTTAGAGTTTACAATCTAGGAGGAACATAGACCCGGACTTGCTGTGCCACCCTTTATTTATTTATTTTCCCCTTCTTCCCCTAGTTCTACCCTATCTCTTCCCTAAAATCAGCAGTGGGAACCTCCCAGTCATGATACTTCTTTTCTTTCAAAGAGAAGTGTGAGAGAGCAAGAAAACCAAACATACATACTCACCTATATGGCTGCAGCATTGGTCCGATGCTGCAGCTGTCCCCCACATTCCTTTGGATTTTCTTGTATTGTTAGTTGACCATGTTTGCAATGTACAGTATATCTTAAAACCATTAAAACTTTTGTGAAAGGAATCAAAACAATGTATATACTGAAAAAATTAATTTGTGACAAATGTAATGACTTCTAAATATTTATATATTTAATTATTATGTATTTCAATCTACTGTAGTGCTGGGGCTTACCATCTGATAATTTACCATCAATTTAAAAAAACACCTGCTACTATGAACAATCTCAGAAATTAACACTGTGACCCTTAATAGAAGGAGCACCTTTGAGGGCCAACCCCAAAGGATACAAATTTATAGAAAATGCTGTTGTGCTCTTAACCAATTGCAGTTACAGTATTTACTTTTCAGTGACTGTTCACCGTCACTTGTCCCTGCCACTTCAAACAGACTATGGGTATATGAGTAAGGTATGTAACACTGACATTTTTATGAATTTTAAACATTTCTTATAGTTTAATTTAGTCAATTGTTGTACAGTTGCAAGAAAAAGTATGTGTCCACGGTAAGACAGACTGTCTACAAATGGAGAAAGTTTAGCACTGTTGCTACTCTCCCTAGGTGTGGTCATCCTGAAAAAATGACTGCAAGACCACAGAGCAGAATGCTGCATGAGGTAAAGAAGAATCCCAGAGTGTCAGCTAAAGACCTACAGAAATCTCTGGCACATGCTAACATTTTTGTTGACACATCTACAATAAGGAAAACATTAAACAAGAATGGAGTACATGGGAGGACACCACGGAGGAAGCCATTGCTGTCCAAAAAGAATATTGCAGCACGTTTGAAGTTTGCAAAAGAGCACCTGGATGTTCCACAGCACTACTGGCAAAATATACTGTGGACAGATGAAACCAAGATTGAGTTGTTTGGGAAGAACACACAACACTATGTGTGGAGAAAAAAAGGCACATCACACCAACATCAAAACCTCATCCCCACTGTAAAACATGGCGGAGGGAGCATCGTGGTTTGGGGCTGCTTTGCTGCCTCAGGGCCTGGACGGATTGTTGTCATTGATGGGAAAATGAATTCCAGAGTTTATCAAGACATTTTGCAGGAAAACGTACGACCATCTGTCCGCCAACTGAAGCTCCGCAGAGGATGGGTGATGCAACAGGACAATGACCCAAAGCATACAAGTAATTCAACAAAACAATGGCTGCAACAGCACAGAATACGCCTTCTGGAGTGGCCCAGTCAGAGTCCTGACCTCAACCCGATTGAAATGCTGCGGCATGACCTTAAGAGAGCGATTCACACCAGACATCCCAAGAATATTGCTACACTGAAACAGTTTTGTGAAGAGGAGTGGTCCAAAATTACTCCAGATCGTTGTGCAGGTCTGATCTGCAACTACAGGAAATGTTTGGTTGAGGTTATTGCTGCCAAAAGAGGGTCAACCAGTTATTAAGTCCAAAGATTCACATACTTTTTCCTCCCTGCACTGTGAATGTTTACATGTTATGTGCAATTAAACCATGGCAACATCTAATGTTTGTGTAGTATTATGTTCAGCAAACTGTGTTCTTCTATTGTTGTGACTTAGTTGTTCAGAGCACATTTTATGCCCAATTCATGCAAAACTCCTTGTAATCCCAAGGGGTTCACATACTTTTTCTTGCAACTGTATTTTTGTATTATTTTTCTAGTTGTTTTTCAGTGCTTATTCTGCACACCTTAAAGAGATTAAAAGTTAACATAACTGATGATGTTTCTTAGGAGATATCATGACTGAGTTCATGTATTTGTGAATAGAAAGGCTTAGGACAGACTCAGTTTCCCCCCATAAACATAAATGACATAAGTCAAGCTTCTGAATATTTAACCCTTTGTTAGGACATACAGTGTTCAAATCTAATTTACAACTGATAATGAGATGTGCCAAAAGTACAAACGGGTAAATATGACAATACAACCCTCCCCATACTCACATGAGAACATGTAACAAATATAATAAAGTAGGAGTTAAACCAGTTTGGCTTCAAAAAGTTAAATATACTCTCACTGGCCACTTTATTAGGTACACCTTTTCAATTGCTTGGTAACACAAATTGCTAATCAGCCAAACATGGCAGCAACTCAATACATTTAGGCATAAGACAACTTGCTGAATTTCAAACCAAGCATAAGAATGGGGAAGAAAGTGAATTTAAAGCGGAGATCCACCCAAAAGTGGAAGTTCCGCTTTAATGCTTTCTCCCCAAAGGTGCCAATCCTTAATGGGGAGCGGGGGACAAAGCATTAAAGCGGGAGTGGGTACCCGAATTTGACAAGTACCCGCTACCACTTCCGCTGCGATTGCCTAGGAAGTTGTCCTCCCCCTTCCCTACCTGTCACATGTCCCAGAAGACTACGGGGCCATTCACACAGCGCAGCGATTCTCACGCACGCACAGTGGGCACCCGGCTGAGAAGCCGCAAGTTGTAACAGCCGGGTGCCCACATTAAAGATGCCGGCCCCTTTGAGAGAAGACGGCCGGTGAAACCAGTGGTGGTGAGGACACCGCTGGACCGAGGGACAGGTAAGTGGCTGTATTTTAAATGTCAGCAGCTACAGTTTTTTTTTATTACAAAATATATCAAAAATACTTTTAAAAATACATTTCAAATATACTGTATGTCTTTAAAAAGTAATTTTAACATATTTTTTACATATATTTGTAAATGCATTCCAAAAATGTAGATATGTATTTTTAAAGCCATACAGTATATTTGAAATGTATTTTTAAAAGTATTTTTGATATATTTTGTAATAAAAAAGGAATTCCAACATGCAATATATATATATATATATATATATATATATATATATATATATATATATATATATATAAAATACAGGATTTATATAGCGCCAACAGTTTGCTCAGCGCTTTACAATATAATGGGAGACAATACAGCAACAATACAGTTCAATACAAGAGGGTTAGGAGGGCCCTGCTCCTTGCATGTATATATATGTATGTATTTATTTATTGAAATATATTTCTAAATATATTGAATATGGGCAAAATTACAGCATTTCAAATATATGGCAATATATTTTGGAAGAATATTTTTAAAATATATTTCAAAATATATTTTTCTTCCAAATGGGTAGCAATGTGTACCTAATAAAGGGGCCATTGAGTGTACATCAAGACTTAAAGGCTAATGTAAATGTGTTAGGGGCCATGAAGTACACCATACCTGCTTATGTGTTCAAGTTTTCAGCACACTCCATTAATCCTGCAGCCACAGGGATTTACAAAACAACTAAAGTTAATAAGCTAAATGGTCTGAGCCTAAGTAGTTTACATTTTATTTATGAATGCGTGGCTCCTGCTTGTGCTCCCTATGGTAAGTGTGAAGTGAAGGGAAAAGTTTAGCTTTCATGATGCAACGGGAATCGATATAGTGAAGAATGAAGGCAATGACACGTGACTTTGAGTGCTATGGGCACTGGGATTACATGACAATTGATCTCCCATTGCAATACCCAACAAAAGTGTTATTTGCCTATATTAACTGGTTAAACTGATAAACAGGTTCTTCCTTTTTCCCTTCATGTTCAAAACTTTACTTTGCACTAAGAAGCTCTGCCTCCTGATTTTGCAATGCCTAAAATGAGGTTCCAGCAGTCAGTCAGCTGGGGAGTTGGCTAGAAAAGTGTGCAAACCCCTCAAAGCATGGGTGTCAAACTGGCGGCCCTCCAGCTTTTGCCATACTACAAGTCCCATGAGGCATTGCAAGATTGACAGTTACAAGAATGACTCCCAAAGGCAGAAGCATGATGTAGTTTTGCAACAGCTGGTGGGCCGCCAATTTGACACCCCTGCCTTAAAGGGTAACTAAGCCCAAGCACACAAATGGTATATATTGCAGTTTAACATTTGACTACATTAGGTTTTTTTAAGGCTAAGAACACTTCCATCAAGTACAAACAGAAGATACACGTTGATCTTGCCAGAAATGCAGTGTCCATGCCACTGAACTGTGAGGTGAACTGGAAGTTTTATTTTACTTCTTTATAAATACTAGTCTCACCACCACCCATATGACAGAGATGAACAAAGCCAGGCATGCTTCAAGTTCAGTCTGAGTGGCAATTGTGGCTTCTTTCATAGATGTGGTGGAAAAGTCAGTAGAGTTACCAGTTGACAGAAAGTGTGTCATTTTCTGGATTAGCAAGTGAAAATAAACGAAAGAAAGCCCACAAAAGAGAAAACTAATGCAGCCACCTTACCTATGGACTGATAAGCAGCAATATATTTTTACTTTTGTTGGGGGGGTAGGAATCCTTTAACTGCTTCCGTGCCTCCCTATAGCAGAAATACTGCTACAGGGTGACACGGGTGCGCAAAATCATGTATATATAGTATACGTGATTTTGAAGTTCCAGATAGGGAACGCGAGCTCACCATTCGCTGCCATTCGTGGCCTCAGCTGTCAATCACCGTCAATCACTGGGTCCCGGACGGTGATTCCCTGCCGGCACCCGACGATAACCAAGTATCACCGACAGGAAAGAAACCTGTGTATATACAACTCAGATCTCTCCCCTGTCAGCTCCTGCACACTGCTTTGTATGGCTCTGTATAGCAGAGTCATACAAAGCAGTGTGCTTACAGTGAAACACACACACAGTCTACATAGTAAAATACACACAGCACAACAGCACACAGTTAACCATTTGATTGCCCCACATGTTAACCCCTTCCTGCCTGGTGCCATTAGTACAGTGTCAGTGCTTTTTATTTATTTATTTCAGGTACTTATATAGCGCCATCAATTTTACACAGTGCTTTACATATATATTGTACATTCACATCAGTCCCTAACCCAAGGGGCGTACAATCTAAGGTCCCTAACTTACATTCATGCATACTAGGGCCAGTTTGGACAGGAATCAATTCACCTACCAGCATGTCTTTGGAGTGTGGGAGGAAACTTGAGTACCCAGAGGAAACCCACCCAGGCACAGGGAGAACATGCAAACTCCAGGCAGGTGGTGCCGTGGTTGGGGTTCAAACCAACGACCCTAGTACTGCCAGGCAGAAGTGCTAACCATTTAGCCACTGTTTATTGGCACTGATCACTGTATTGGTGTCACTGGGGATGTCAGTGACACCAAGTCATTTCCCCCCAGTGTCAGAATGCTCGCCACAGTCCCGCTATAAGTCGCTGATCACCGCCATTACTAGTTAAAAAAAATCCAGTATATACCGCCATTTGTAAATGCTATAACTTTCCCGTAAACCAATAATTTACAAGTATTGGGATTTTTTTTTTTTTTAGCAAAGGCATGTAGCAGAATTTATTTTGACCTAAATTTATGATGAAATAAAATTTTTACCATTTGTTACTGGATATGTTTAATAGGAAAAAGTAGAAAATATAGGGGTTTTTTTCAAAATTGTCAGTCTATAGCACAAAAAAAAAACGCAGAGGCGATCAAATACCACAGAAAGAAAGTTATATTTGTAGGAAAAAAATAATGTACATTTAATTTGGGTGCAGCGTTGCATGAGTGCATAATTGTCAGTTAAAATAACGCAGTACCGTATCGCAAAAAAATGGCCTGGTCAGGAAGGGGGGTAAATCCTCTGGAGGGCAAGTGGTTAAGCAGGATGTCTCAAAAGTAAAGCCCCCTACACACGAATATTAGACGGATGATCATCTGTTTTTTTTGTATGCTAATCTCATATCGAAAGGGAAGAGGTCAATGAATTCTTGTACACCAGAATAAAATTTTGCAAGTGATGCAATGTATTGTATTGTATTTGTATTGTATTTTTGTGCTGATTAACCCCTTGACTCTGACTGTACACAAATATACAGCCTCTCGGCAGCTGGGCCTTGACGCCGAGCTGCCGCATATTTGCGTACCATTTGAAAACACATATGTGCTGAGAACGCGTGCCCTGCACGCTCCCAGCACATGTGTCAGTGTCTCACAGAAAGGTCCCGTTCTCCCTTTAAAATTGGGACCTTTTCCGATCATGTGACCACATTATCCAAAGAACAAAGGTATACCACTCAGGCAAACAATCCAGATCAATCCGCGACAGGTGCAGGCTCTGGCTCGCCACCACACACGATGCAATAGGAAGAAGGGTCAGCCGCACACCGGAGGATAGATGAATATAGTGTATATTTATTGATCCATAGGACACAAAACACCAGGACATGAATACAGGACCTGTTAACGCATTTCATACAACCTCGTGCTTAATCATACAGATGATATGATTAAGCACAAAATGCGTTAACAGGTCCTGTATTCATGTCCTGGTGTTTTGTGTGTCCTATGGATCAATAAATACATACGATATTCATCAATCCTCTGGTGTGCGGCTGACCCTTCTTCCTGTTGCATGTGACCGCTTCGACAGAGAATCACAGCGGTCGCATGACCCTAAAACCCCGCCTTGCCTTCCAGTGTCTGAAACCCCTTAAAGGACCGGGAGCTGCCGGCGTGAAGAGGTTAACCTCCCTGGCGGTATTCCCGAGTGTAGCTCGGGGTAAAGTTTCAGCACCACAAGCGGTAACCCCGAGCTACACTCGGGAATACCTTTGCAGCATTGCTCTGGGATTTCTTCTGCACTTACCCTGTCCTTTGCTCCCGCGATGTCCTCCCTGCAGTGTTCTCGGCCATCTCCTCCGGCCGATGCCAGCATCCGTCTTCCGGGTTCCGTTCCCTGCGACGTCAGGACATACAGGGGACGGAACGGCAGGAAATTCAAAAATGTCAAAAAGTGACATTCACTCAATACACTAAAATCACATAGTAAAACATTACTGTATCAAACCATTTCACATACATTTTGTCCCTAGTGCTTTGCCCTGTGCCCTGCCTGCATTTTCACTGTTCTTTCTGCCTGGAAACTGAGAAATGTCCATGGCGTCAAAAAGCGTCCCTTTAGGTCAAAAGCGGGTTTAGAGCAGCTAGAGAACAGCGAAAGTAAATCAGAACTACTTGCAGAATTGAGTGATAATGATTCGTGGGGAAATTCATCATCAGACACTGAAAACGATTTTGCAACTTTGCTCAGTGATGTGCGAACTTGGCGCTATATTTCAAATTTCAGTGTTTTTGGTTTGATTATATTATTGAAATAAATGTATTATTATTATATTATTTTTTATGATTATTTATTAAATTATCATTTATGATTTCCTGTTTCAAATTTTAACTTACCCGGGATGTTTACTAGACTTTTGTTCGGACAGATTTCAGTGAGTTATTCCTAAAAATTACAGGCCTACAATAAAAAAATGACATATTTCCATGCAAAAAAAGTACCGCTTTGAGCACAGAAATATTGACATAATCATACCGCTAGGGAGGCTACATGAACATTGTACAATCTTCTATTATACTGAAAATTTTTGTGCTTGTCCCTTGAAATTTTATTATTCAGGTATAGACTGGAAGAAAGACTTCTTGATCTACTTACAGTTGTGGCCAAAATTATTCAACCCCCAATGCTGTAAAGGGGTTTAGGGACTATAGTGTACATTTGGAATTGTATTCAGAATCAAATCCTACAAGGACGTTGTAACTACCCAAATGCAACTAAAATGACATCAATTGTTTATGTAATACAGTAGTAAATGGTTCTTATGTGGTTTCTTCATTGCCACAATTATTCAACCCCTTAAAGACTACCACTCTGAAGAACAGAGGTTCATACAGGTGCTTTCCATCAGGTATTGAAAACACCTGTGGATGTCACCGAGCAGCAATCAAGCATAATAAGCACCAATTAGGCAGCTTTAAAATGACTGTGATACTCAGCTCCTTCTAGACATTTACTGGTGTGGTTACAAACATGGTGAAGGCAAGAGAATGGTCCAGGAAGACAAGAGAAGAGGTGATTTCTCTTCACAGGAAGGGCAATGGCTATAAGAAGATTGCAAAGATGTTAAACATACCAAGAGACACCTTAGGAAGCATCATTCGCAAATTCAAGGCAAAGGGCACTGTTGAAACGCTACCTGGTCGTGGCAGAAAGAAGATGCTGACTTCGACTGCTGTGCGCTACCTGAAGCGTAGAGTGGAGAGAAGTCCCCATGTGACTGCTGAGGAACTGAGAAAAGATTTGTCAGATGTGGGTACAGAAGTTTCAGCCCAGACAATAAGACGCACACTGCGTAATGAAGGCCTCCGTGCCAGAACTCCCAGGCGTACCCCCTTGCTGTCTCCAAAGAATAAGAAGAGTCGACTGCAGTATGCCAAAAGCCATGTGGACAAACCACAAAAGTTGTGGGATAGTGTTCTGTGGACTGATGAAACAAAATTAGAACTGTTTGGGCCCATGGATCAACGCTATGTTTGGAGGAGGAAGAACAAGGCCTATGATGAAAAGAACACCTTGCCTACTGTGAAGCATGGTGGAGGGTCAATCATGCTTTGGGGCTGTTTTGCTTCTGCAGGTACAGGGAAGCTTCAGCGTGTGCAAGGTACCATGAATTCTCTTCAGTACCAGGAGATATTGGATGGAAACGTGATGCAGTCCGTCACACACCTGAGGCTTGGGAGACGTTGGACCTTTCAACAGGACAATGATCCCAAGCATACCTCCAAGTCCACTAGAGCATGGTTGCAGAGGAAAGGCTGGAAACATTTTTGGAGTGGCCATCGCAGTCACCAGACTTAAATCCGATTGAGAACCTCTGGTGGGACTTAAAGAAAGCAGTTGCAGTGCGCAAGCCTAAGAATGTGACTGAACTGGAGGCCTTTGCCCATGAAGAATGGGCGAAGATACCCGTAGATCGCTGCAAGACACTTGTGTCAAGCTATGCTTCACGTTTAAAAGCTGTTATAACTGTAAAA